TTTAACTGCATGCACTCCAAGGCAGGTGTGAATTAAAGTGTAGTATCCACAGCCTTCAGGCATCGCAAGGTGATACAGACTCCATTTTAATGATTTAATTATATACAATATCGCCCCTTTCCCTCTGTCACAGGGCAACTGCACCTGTAATCTCTCCCAATGGTCCACTCCAGGCATGCCCAGCCAGGTCTCAGGTCTCCAGCTGTCACCTGTCTGGACAGGGACTCTGGTCCACTCCTTTCTGACCAGGGTTTTTAAGGTGGCACAGCCCCTACCTTATCCTGTGATATCCCCAGCAATCCAGCCTGCCTGAAGGCCAGCACCTGTGCTTTGCTTTCTCTTGAAGAGGTATTAATAGTGTATTGCCAGCAGGTACCAGTTACAACACAGCTCTTTCTAAGCAAGCACATTTATTCTTAAGGGGAAAGCATTAAAAGGAAAACAAAAACAAACATATTTAAACCCACACGAAACATCAGGCATCATCCACCAGTCTTATGGGGCCCTAGTAGGCCAAAGTCTTCCCAACCCTTCCACAAGGGTTGGGGCCCTCCTTGGACCAAAAGTCCTGTCCATTTGTTGGATCAGAACAAAGGCCCCAAGTCTATTTAATTAAACACATCCTTTTTAAGCCACAAGCCCTTTCTTTGTCAACTGCTCTCTTGAAAACCCATTTTGAACCAGTATATGCAAGCGTCCCCAGGGTTGGCACCTTTCTGGAGGTGTATACAACCAAAGCGATTCATCTTAATTATCCCCTACTGTTTATGGTTCCTGGAAGAGCTGAATAACCCCCCTCCCTGAGGTTTCCTACAGTCCCTGGCCTGCAGTATGCATAAATGTAACACAATACGGTGCCCAAAGATATTTGCATGCAGTTGCATATCTGTCACACCCTCTCTCATATAATATTTGTCCTTGTATCTTCCCCTTTCATGCTAAATAGCTATAGCGAGAATCTCTTCTCTTGTGAAAGGCATACATAAACCTCAGCAGCGTAAATCAAATTTGGAGTTTATAGGAGGGTGTAGCAAGCCAAAATACATTAAAATAGTTGTGAAAGGTCAACAACAGGTCAGTTTTGGAAGCCCTCATCTCTCTCAATCATCTTTTGTGCTTTGTTCCAAGTTTGTTGGAACATCATCTCTGGGATAATGTGGCATGCTGAAATTCAGGTTGACGAATTTGGTTCTGGTGCAGTAAGCTGGAATTGTGTGAAAGAATGGAAAACAGGTTTTATAGTAACAAGAAGCTAGCTGCAACCTTGGAGGCAAAATCTGCCAGCCCAGAAAAGATAAAAAAATACTTCAGTTTCTCTACAATATGCCTATACCCTCTGCTTTATAGCTCCTAGCAATTAATAGGTTCTGAAATGTTCTGAACTTGGTATGCTCCTTTGTTTACCAAATACCTTTCACACCCATAAGTCTGAAATTTCACTTGTGCATTAACAACCGATTGCTCTTCCCAGAACTTTACAACATGACGTTTGTTGAGTTTATGGGTAGAATTTATAGTAAGCTTTTCAAGACTTGTGAGTAGGTGAGAAAATATGTATTTAAAAACTGAGAGCCCTCCAGGGGCAAATCCTACTCCCTCCTCACTGGGTACAGATGATTCCAGATTACACTGGGAACTATTCAGTTCTGTTGCTCAGAGAAGGATGTAGGGAGGCCATTCAGGGGATCCACACACCCTGCATAGCGACTCATACAGCTCTGCAAGCGCTGTTATCTTGCAGTTGCATGGGAGTGGGAGGTTGTGGCTGGGGCAGATATGCGATAGGGGAGTAGTGGGGCAGACTGATCTCTCATGAGGCCGATCCACCTGTCATTGAGCTGTATGGAGAGGAGATACAGGCACCGTAGAGGCTGCTGAAGCTTCAAGGCTGCAATATCAGGCACTGGGCTAATAGTGTGAAAAAAGTACTCACAAATCTTCCCTTGAGTGGGAAAGTGAAATTCAATTCAGCCATATTTGTGACTAGTGCCTGGCAAATAGGGTGAAATTAACACTTGTGTGGAGGGTCTGCACAAGGGCCAAGTCACTATTTTTGCTGTCAAAGTAGGGCTGGTAAGTGATGGGTAGGCCTGGTGCTGGGCATTTGTGGGGCAGTGCAACCCCAAATTCAAATATTGGTAATTTTTTTTTTGAAAATTTTACCAAAATTTGTGAAATTATTCAAGGAAGATGCTCCCAGATCATCCACCATCTCTATCTCAAAACTACTCTGCACTCCTGGGAATAGCAAGGCTACTACGAATTTTCCCCACTTCCTTGCACTGGACAGCTCAACTTTCTGAACTGTTTTTCTGATTTTTCAGGACCTGTTTCATGGATATAACAGGAGGTCAAATTTGACACTGCCCACTTGTTTCGCAATATTTCCTGGGAGACTTCACCTACCATAAATATAAGCCATAGATGGAAAAAAAAAACTACTGTAGACATGAAAAATGGACATCATGCTTTAGGAAAAGGTAAGGGCAGTTTGTGATGCCACCTTGCCTTTGAAAGACGGATGTATTTATCTGTGGGATAAATAACTGGGGTAGCTTAAGGCCGAGCCAGTTTTGCATCTAAAACATATTGAGAAATGAAACAGAAGTTAGAGGTCTCCCATGCAAATACCTCTGTAATTTAAACAGGAAATCAGACAATAAAGTAATAAAACAGTCTAAATGATCATTTCTGTTTAGTTAATGATTAACTTTCATTAAAAGTTTGTGATATCTTGATTAAAGACTGCCAGAAATGTGGCTATGGCAAAGGGTTCTAGCAGCCTGCAGGCTAGGGGTCACTGAGTGTAAGCTTCCAGGCTGTCTTTAAAGGAGACTGTGGGTATGTCTACTCTAGAGCTGGAAGATATCTATTCCATCTTGAGGAGATACACCTGTGCTAGCTCTGAGTGAGCTAGCGTGCTAAAAATAGAAGTCTACCCGTGGTGGTGCGAGTGGCAGGCAGGGCTACGCCACCCCCCAAGTACATACCCGTCTGAGACCATAGGCACGTACTAGGTATGGCTGGCCCCTCCTGCCATTTGTGCAAGCACAGCCATACTCTATTTTTAGTGCACTAGCTTTGATCAAGCTAGTCTCCTCGAGCTGGGAATCACCCCACCTCCCAGCTCCAAGTGTAGCTGTACTTTGTGGGTCAAAGCACGCTCCTTTGGCTGGCAGCTAAACTTCTGAGGTGCCATTGGGTTGCAAAGCAGCTGCACAAAAGGAAGGGTGATGCACAAGGCTCACCTTTCAAGGCCGTGTGGCCCCAGGTGAGGCGGTTTGGGTTATGGTGTAAACTGCAGGGACTGGAGCAGGAAGAGGGAACCACATTTTTTGCAGTTAAATCTGAGTTGCATTGTAGCGAGAAGCTGAGAGAGATTCAAGGCTTCTCCTCTTGGTAAAAGGCCAGTGGTGCTTTTTTGAGGCTTTGCAAGATGAAATTGCCTGTGCAACCTCTGTTCAAGGAAAGGGGGCCCGCTGACATTTTGTAAATAAACAAATTGCACTATGAAAATACCCTGACTCTGCACCACCAATTGCTGGATCCAGCAGGACCCTTCAAGGCCTCAACATTTGTTACTGCTCAGCCGCGAGGCAACAATACTGTTTATTGCATTTGATTTCAATATCCTTTGTTCTCAATTATAGTCACCACTCACAGTAAAATCAGAATGAGTGGAACAAATGGAAGTTAATTTTAGAAAAAAGTCTGCTAGCGTACTATACAGAGTGAACATATTTTTGTTTCTAAACAAATACTTCTAGTAGCGGTGATAGTTAAAGTTCTTCCTCCTTCAGTCATGCATCCCTAATCACATCCATATGTGGGATGTTCTCAATGGAAAAACAGGCAAACCTCCAAACAGCACAGGGATAGATTCTCCCACCCTTACTCACAGTGTGGGGTGTCTTACACCTTAAGTATTTCCAGTGTAATGATTGGGATTCACTTGAGAGCTCAGGTACTAATCAGTGTGACTGAGGGTATGTCTATACTGTAATCACAGGGTGTGATTGTGGTTCATGTAATCATCCACAAACAATGATCTAGCTAGCTTGGGTAGCGGAGCACTAGATCCATGACCGGTTTCATCTTGGTTTGTACAAACCTGCCTGGAACATTGGGTAATTACTCGGGTGGCCCGTGCTGCTGTGGCTTCACTGCTCTGGTCCCCGAGCTAGCTAGATTAATGCTAGGTCAGGTACATATGCAGGAGCTGCCATACAGACATACCCTGTGGGTTGAAGGAAGTAGCCATTGTAATTGTGAAAAATGAGATAAATTGGCACAAGGGGGGCAAGGCTGTAGAAAAGATGTGGTGTAATGATAGTCTGCAAGGGGGAATAAAAGGTTATCAACTAAGGGCCAGACTGAGGCTCCCCATTCTACTCACACAGGATTTAGCCACCGCTGCAGCACTTGCACTCATTCTACTGGGCCAGTACTGCGGGTGTCTCCAGAAGAGGTGGGGAGGAGGCAGGACACACCTCTGCACTCCCTAATGGAGGCGAGCACATGCTGCGCCTGTCTAAGTGGTAGAGCAAGAGCTGTGCTCTCCATAGACTGGGGAGCGCCCAGAGATGATGTGTGTTTGAAAAATATTACCCTGAAAATCTAATCAGACCCTTTAACCACACACCTCCAGACCTGGAAAGCCTGTTTTTAAAATGATTAAATGTAGCATAAACTAGAAGCTGAAGATGATGTAGAGGCAGCAGTTTCACAAAGGCCTAGGCTTTCCATCAGACCAGCAAGCTACTGAGCTAGTCTCCATGCAGCCACTCTGCAGCCGGTGCAGGATAGGAGGTTATAGATTCCCTTGCATCTGCCTCAGTGCCCAGCTACTTGGCCTAGGAGTGGGCCTGAGGATTTGACTCAAAATGAGGTATCAGCCAGCCAGCATCAACCATCTGTGAAAAGGAGCTGGCTGGGCTGTTAAGGAAAATGGGACAAGTTTAGCAAAAAATAAAGGGCTTGATTCTCCATTGTCTTGCACCATGTTCAAAGAGGTGCACAATGCTACCATCAGGGTATGAGTGATCAGAGAATTCTAACTGGGAAGCATTTTACAGCTGCTTTATAATCCCTTTACACAAGATGCTGGGCAGTGAAGAATCAGTCCTGAGAAATGTATTCTGAATGTAGAATGGCTTGAAATTTTACTCCATTACTGAGTTCTTAATGAAGAAATTTTGCCTTGGATTGAATACATCCATATCTAAGGCCAAATTCAAAATACTGGAATTTTTGGGACAGTTTGTCTAGTGGTTAGAGCAACAATCTGGGAGTCAGGGTGCTAGAGTTCCATTGCTCTGTCTTCTCTTGACTTGCTGCGATAATGTGAGTTTTAATTAATTACACCTCTACCTCGATATAATGCTGTCCTTGGGAGCCAAAAAAAAATCTTATAGGTGAAACCGCGTTATATTGAACTTGCTTTGATCCACCGGAGTGCACAGCCCTGCCCCTCCCCGGAGCACTGCTTTACCGTGTTATATCCAAATTCCTGTTATAGCGGGTCGCATTATATTGAGGTAGAGGTGTATTATTTAAAAGACTAACTTCTCTAGATGATAAACGATATGTACATTATGTAGTGGGCCAGATCCTTAACTGCCATAGCTCCATTCAGGAGCTGACCTCCCACTGATCAAAGCATACTTACCAAATCCCCACATGAACACACAAATAATACAATGAATTTAGAGCTTGATACAAAACCCACTGAATTCAGTGGAAGTCTTTCCATTGACTTCAGCTGGCTTTGGATCGGTCTCTAACTTTGTAATATTAAAGAACACAAGCAAACAACCAACCAACTTGAACAACAATTTAGAATTTATAACTGTTCAGGTGAATACACTTTGTTAGACTGGCTGGATTGCAAAACAAGCTTATGCTCCTGAGAGTGTGAGGAATTACCTCAGGTTGAAACGTAACAATGCATACAGCCTCACCCTGTTTATAATACTAAAGCCTTCAATCCATAATGTCAGTTTCACAAATGGGATGAGTACAGAAAGGAGACCAAAAATAACCATGGAGACTTGGAAATATTTATGGCATTTCATTCTCTGTGTTTTGCTGGGTAAGTCAATATTCAATTGGACTAAATGTATTGTTATGTTTTTATGCAATGTTCTACATTAAGAATATAATATAAAGACTACTGAAACAGATTTCAGTAACTGAAACAGGCTAAAAGGTTGCAAACGGCTTAATACTTCCTATTAGGAAATATTTTTAGTTTGCATTGTGTCTCAGTATTCAACAAGGTATTGAGTCTGTACATAAAGTCTGCAGTCAGTAGAAAATTAGAAATAGATGAAAAGACAGTATCTGACAGTCTTTCATATCAACAGCACAACACAGTGTCTAGCTGGACTGCGTGAAGATTGATTTATTTATTTAGCCTTAGGTCTTATTTTGTCATCTATGAGAAATATGAATGGCACACCTTTGCCAGTCTTTTCACCCCCACCAAAGAATCTTTTGGTAAGACTTCAGTAGAAGAACATGGATTGTGCTACTTCTGCTGTCCTACACTGCAGGGCCAGCTCTAGGCACCAGCAAACCAAGCTTCTGCACTTTGCTCTCGGAGGGTTTTTTTTTTTTTAAACTTGGGGTGGCAAAAAAAAACTAGAGCCAGCCCTGCTACACTGTCCCTATACAGCAATTATTTTTGAGATAATATTTAGAAATTGAGGCATTTCATAAAAATGATTTTCTTCTATTAGAGAATGTTTTAAAACATTTTATAATCTAATGTAGCACCAGTAATAGTTTTTGCCACTATTCACTACTTACTAATGTGACACACAAGACTACACAAGCTGTATCCTACAGTTCAATCTGTATATTGGATCAGAAAGTGTATCCAAGTGCAGTAGGAATGATTTGATATGTTATGCTATATTTGAAAACACTAACATAATATATATTTCCTATGCTATGGTAGACTCCAATATGGCTTCAAATAGATGTACTCTGATTTATACCAGCTGAGGATCTGGCACTTTGTTTCTAAACACTTACACAATCAGAATCAAATTGCAAGTTTATTAGAAAGAATGCTCCTAACAGATAATATTAAAGATAGATAATAGACATATAGGCTAAACTCCACACAACTACAAGTCGGGGCAGACTTAGCAAGACGAGTATATGACACTAGTAGTTAGTGTACTTTGTATTATTTATACTACTTTGCCACAGTAGAAACCACACTGGCAACACTCTAAAAAGAAATTTTAGGAGCTATAGGAGATGTTGAAATCTACTTTCACACATGATTGTCCGCTTCAATCGTTAATATTTACTCACACTTCATGACACAGGGAAACACAGGATAGGAGGGAGTTCTGTCTAATTATTATTTACCTTCTAGGGTGGCAAAGTAATGATTCTTGAGGGGCAAATACCTGACATGCCCAGAGGGTTAGTTACCAATACAATGGATAACTTTGACTTGCAAAACAGAGCAGGGGGAAATACTTGAATAAATGAGTACTTTGCAACTGGGACTGGAGTCAAATTTATTTCGAAAGATGTAGAGGAGCAGACTCACCCCTGCGGCACCTCCTGCTAGTGACTCTGGGAATTAGCTCAATCCAGCTTTCAGAGCACCCTCTGCAGGCTGGTGATCCACCTGTCCTCTGGCCCCATGTCCCTCCCAGACCCCAGTGCCCTTATCTGGGGGGGCTGCCCTCAGGCAGAACCCCTTTCCACTGGGTTTCCCCTCCCCAGGGAACCCCCCCCCACTATCCCTACCTCACCTCAGGATAAGGCCACTGCCAGCCACCAACTAGCCCCCGCTCCCTGGGGCAGACTGTAGTATAGGCCACTCATCATTGGCAAGGTTGGGTTTGGACCTGCTGCCTTGGCCTAGCTCTGGGCTGCCCTCTGCAACCACCAGTACCCCTTGGCCTTCTCCTAGGCCACAGCCTGGGGTTTTCCAGGCTGGAGCTCCCCAGCCTTTCCCCAGCCCTGCTCCACTCAAGTACCCTGTCTCAAGCTCTCTGCAGCCAGGCCCTTCTTCCTCTGAAAGCAGAGAGAGACTGCTGAGCTCCCAGTCTTTTTATACAGGCCAGCTGTGGCCTGATTGGGGAAGTAGGCACGGCTGGGCCATGCCCCAATCAGCCCAGCTTTTAGAGCTGCAGCTCTCTGCCAGGGCTGTTTTAACCCCTTCCAGGCAGGAGCGGGGTAATCACCCTGCTACAAAAGAGTCTTGCAGTTTTTTTATTCATGTTTTATTGCTTCCTCTATTCCACCATACAGTCACTTGGGAGTGCGGGGGGGGGAGGGGATCTTAGTAAGTTTGAGGGTGGGTCAAAGGCAGAGAAGAAATTTTGACATTCTTTGTGCACACAAAAGCAATTGGTTTTATTTATATATATTTAACAATAGCTAATATAAAGACTAGGAGCCAGATTCTCCACTACCTTGTATCCTGTGTTGTTGCTTACATCTGTGCCAAAGGGGTGTAAAATGCCACTATTTCAATTTGGCTGTAAATGAGCACACAATCTTCAATGCAGGGGACAGTCAGGTCCTAAGACTTTATTAATAATCCTGTAGTTTTATTTATATAAACTTTAAAGCAACGATATTTGACTTAGAACTAGAGCTGGGTGAAATTTTTTGGTGAATAATAAATTTGGGGTCTTTTTGGAGGGGTGGGGGGACCAAAATTATTTGCCATTTTGCAGAATAATTTGGGGCTGAAAAAATATTTTTTAAAAAATGTCAAAATGAGATGTTTCAACCTTTGTTTCAAAATGACAATTTGTTTTTGTTTCAGCAAGAAAAAATGTAAACTTTCAGGTTCAGTTCAAAATTAACCAATTTTTCCCTTGCTCAGCTCTATTTTGAACAGTGATGACAGTAGCCAGACTAGTGGTCTAGGTCTGCCAAATTGTAATGTAAGGTGCAGTGTTGCCAAGTATTGTGATTTTATAGCAAGTCTTGTGATATTATACTTAAAGCCCCAGCTCCTGGAGACAAGTGAGTTTCAGCCTTTTTTTTTTCTAAATAAGATTCTAGCCCTCATTATTGTGAGGAGAAAAGTTTGAAAATATTACCTGAGTGGACATGGAAGGTTCAGAAACAAGAAGGGAAAGAAAAAGAACCAGAAATGCATTATTTAAAAAAAATCCAATGATTTTAAGTCAATCGCAGGATTTCTTGGGGCCTCATTCATGATTTATAAATTTCACAAATTCTCTTGTGTGTGTAGAATACTAAAATTTGATTTATAAAACACAGTTTGTTCAGAGTACATTATGGAATTGGTTAAATTAGGAACTTGTGAGATTTTAATACTAAATTTCTAAAGATATACTCTGTTAGGGTGACCAGATGTCCCAATTTTATAGGGACAGTCCCAATATTCAGGGCTTTGTCTTCTATAGGAACCAATTACACCCCACTTCCTGTCCCGATTTTTCACCCTTGCTATCTGGTCACCCTATACTCTATGGGTTGAATAGCTCACATAATGGAAATTATAAGTCTATTTAACATTACCTGCTTTATGACTGCCCATGCTGAAAATGGCCCAGTCAACCACTAATTCCCAAATTCCTTTTGAATGGCTATTAAGTCTAGACATAATGGCATACATTTGAAATATTGGAAGAAAAATATAGAAGCTATTTAAAAACTAAGGATAAAATAATTGTTCTGAATACAAATACAGTACAGTTTTGTCTTCCTAAGGGGGGGAGGGATAGCTCAGTGGTTTGAGCATTGGCCTGCTAAACCCAGGCTTGTGAGTTCAGTCCTTGAGGGGACCACTTAGGGATCTGGGGCAAAAATCAGTACTTGGTCCTGCTAGTGAAGGCAGGGGGCTGGACTCGACTCGACTCGATGACCTTTCAAAGTCCCCTCCAGCTCTATGACATAGGTATATCTCAATATATAACTGCTTTGAAGTGGAATTAATAAAATCTAAACTGGTTTATCAACAGAAACAACTCTGGCACAAAGCACAACGGATGTAACAGCCGCAGACCTCAGCCATTCCTCACTGCTTTCAACTGCAGAGACACCCAGCACAGATACAGAGAAGTCGGCTCTTCCAGTGAGCACCGTGATTCTGGAGAGCAGCACAGTGGCACCAAGTGCAACATCCCG